TGATCTATAATATATTGTAAAATATTATCTTTATTTTATATCAATGCATTAGGAATCTTTATTTTAAATAATGCTGCATATGCTTTTCTTATTTTGTATCTGGTAAAAAAATATTTTATTAATTTTTCTTCTTGCTTGATTCATTTTGTTTTTGAGCATATCTGCTATTTTTCTGTTATATTAATAAGTTCTTTTTGCAATTAATAAGTTAAATTATCTGTTTGTACTTATAAACTGTTGTTAGATAAATTGTTTACTAGTCTCTTATTAAGATTTGTAATTTTTTTATTGAGCTTCATAATATTGTTTTCAGTTGCCTTGAGCTTTTTGTAAGCTCTAATAATTGATTGTAGTTGAATCTTAGTGAAGTTTTAATTATTGCTATTTATTGCTTTTTGTAGCTTTTCTCTTAGATCTTTTTTAGGAAAGATATTTGTAAGGGTTCTTTTATTAAATTTTCAAATTATTGGTTCACATGAGGTTTGTTAAAAGTTGAAAACATATTTCACTAACTTGTGATCTGAGTTACTATATAAGATGCTTAGCTTTGTGGTCAAATGTGAGTGATTCTTATCAATAAAAATATAGTTAAGATAAAAAGTCATAGTTTTATTTTCTTGAGTTCTTTAAAAAAAAATAAGAAGAGATATATTTTCTAAGACCAAAGAGTTGTCTGTAAAGTTCTTAAAATTTTCTAAAAACAAAGTTTTTGAAAGGCTTTTTGGGTTATTAAAGCACTAATTCAGTCTTTGTCTAATAGATATTTGTATTGAAGTTTTCTTCAATTATATTTATAGCTTCTAGATTTATTGTTGAAATTTAGTAATTGAAAAAAAAATTTTATCTAATTGATTAGATGGTATATATACATTTGTAATTTTAAGAATATAGTTTTTGTATAATATAGTTGTTATAATACTCTTTTATTTTGTTCAATTTTGTTGTCTCTAAATAAAATTTTTTTATTCCTACTAAAATTGCTGTTTTACTTGACCAAATTAAGTCAAAAAGCCATTGTTGTTGCAAAAATTCTTTAGTGTCTTTTTTGTTAAGGTTTGTTTCTTGTAGAAAAATAATGTTTAATTTATATAATTTTAATAATATTAAAGTGTTTCTTTGTTTTTATTTGTCATTGAGTCTCTTAACATTTAGGATTGCTGTTGTTAGTTTTGATTTAGTTATTGTTTAGATAAGAAGAAGATTTGTGTATTTTTGAAGGTTTTGTTTCTATTCATAATTCTGGTTTTCAAGTAAGATTAGTCTTCTTTTTGCTTTTTGTAAAAGCTTCTTTAACTTTTTTTCATTTATTAGTAACTAAAATAAATTCTGATTTTTTTTTCTCAAGATTAAAAAAAGAGATAGTTTAGTATATTGCCAATTGACTTTCAGCTTGTTATTGCTAATTAGAGATGATCAAGTTTTTTTTATTCATATTTGGCAAAACTTTCTGTTAGTTCAAAAGTTTACTGTTATCTATTTTTGAATTAGGTTGATCATTAGTCTAAGCAAGGAATTTTTTATTAAATTGTAAAATAGTAACTGTAATAACTTTACATTCTTGAGTAACTAGATTCACTTTTTGAAGAATTGTCTTATTTGGTAATTTGTTTTGCATATTAAAAGTTTCTAAAATATTATATAAGAGTTCTATTATCTTTTTAGTTTTGTTTTCTTGATATTTTTTATATCATTGTCTAAGTTTAACTGCCTCTTTGAATTGCTTACAGTTTTTTTTTAGATATTCTTCTTTGTCACAAAAAAAGCAAACCTTAGAAGCTAACTTTTATTTAGTTGTAACTTTGTTATCATATAGAAAGATATAGCATAAGATTTTAGCTTTGAGTTTTGGATTATCAGTTGTCTTAAAGATTATGATTTATTGATCAGTTGTATAAAGAGTTTCTTTAATAAGAAGTGGTTTAATAGTTATAATTTTTTTAAAGTTTTTAAAAGTTTTCAAAATTGCTTTAGAAACTCATTTTTTATTATTAAATAGTATATTTTTGATCTTAACAGAAAAAAAGAATTTTCTATTATCTGTAGAAATAAATACATAGCAGGTTTGATTAAAAATTATTATGTCTTTGCTAGCATAGTATTTAAGTCATTTATTACTAACAAATACTAGTTCTAAATGTGTTCTATCACTTTTGATGAAGTGCTATTTTGTAGTGGCCACATCTTGTCTATGTGTTTATATAAAGAAATTATAATTTTATTAAAAAAGTGATTTAAGTTTCTGATGTTAAAGACCAAAGCATTATTATTTTTTAACTTGATAGAATTTCTAAGAAATAAAGCAGAGTATATAAACTGTCTCTTTTTTAGTTTTGCAAAAAGACTAGATTATTGCTTTTTGCCTCTTAAGATGTATTTGTATTAGCATATGTTTCAGCATATAGGTTGGCATATGCTTTATTGTGTATTTTAGCTTGTGCTTTAATATATGTTTTCATATTTGCTATATGACTTTTTTGTTTATTATTATATAATGCTTTATATATATATGTCATTGTTATTGTCAGTTTATTGCTTACAACATTATCTTTTCTAATCATTTTAGCTTTTGGGTTTTCACTGCTGTTTTTCTTTAAGGTATTATTTTCTTGTTCTGTTGCCAAGATAGTACTTCTATTTAGTTCTTACTTTACTTGTTCATTCCAGTTTATATTGTTGTTCAAAAAGAAACTTGTTTTATATTTCATATTTTGCTTATTTAAAAATAAGTTTGTTTTAAGTAAAACTATTTTATATTTTTAAAAGTTAAGTAGTATAAGTTTATATTTCTTTAAAACAAAAGCCTTTGCCCTAGTTTTAGTAAAAAAATAAAGTCTTTGTTTTCTTTATTAATTGTTATTTTGTCAATAATAAAAAATCTGTTCAAAACAGTAATAAACAAAAAAGAGTTTTCTATATAAAATTTTAAAATTAACTTATATAATATTTATAAAATTTGATCTTTATATATATACTGTATAATAACAAATTTTTTGTAAATACTAAATTCTTAAAACTAAAAATATAATTATAAAAAATTTAATTATATTTTATTATTTAACTGTATTTTATTATTTAAATATTATTGTAATATAATTATATAATTAAATTATTAATATTTTAAAAAGTAAATATTATTACTAATTAAATTAAAAAAAATTAATTTAATTTAATAAAAAAAATAAAATATATAATTAAATTTTTATATAATTATATTTTTAAAATACAAAAATAAATAATTATATAAAATTAAGATGTAACAACTTAGTAAAGTAAATAAGTTGTTAACCTTCTAAGTGATAAGTTAGATATTTAAACTTATCAATAGTAATAATTTAGATAATCATCTATGTAATACTTATATTACAACAATTGTTTCTAATAATTAAATTAATATGTCTATAATAATAGTCATATTGGCATAATTGACAAGATATAGAATATCTGTATAACTGATTATATAAAGAAATACAAACTAGTATCAGATAATATAAACTTTAAATATATTCTTATAATTATATAAATCTGTTAAAATTGAAAAAAATAAAATGTTTATTTGAGAAGACCCAAATAATGAAATAGTACAAATTTTTAATAATATTACTATAAAAACTAGACTTAAAAAACAAATATTAATATAAAAAAACTAAATAGATAAAAACCTTTAGATAAAAATTCTTAAAAGTTTAATTATTAAATTTATAACAGTACTATTTATCTAACTAAACTACTTACATATTTTCTAATTACATTATTTTATTTTACTATACTTAGCTAATAAAAAAAAATAAGTTACTATTAATATAATATGTCTTTATTTATATTTAAAATATATTTACAAAACTATTAACTTTAAAAAATTTATGAAAAAACTTAATATAAGATCTTTATATTTTATCTAAACTTTAATATTAACTATAATACAAATGAACTACTTTTTAATATTCAAAATAATAATAAATTTAATATCAAAATTATATTAAACATTTTTGCCAAAAAATTTGAAAATAATTTTAAATTTTTTTACTTAAACTCTATATCACATTCTATGAAACTTGGTTTTCAAAATTTTTTAAAAAATACAAAATTTAATTTAAGTAAATAAATTAATAAAAACAAGTAACTATATTAATTAATGATTTGCTAGTCATCTTGACAAAGATTATAGTGTAATATGATGCAGATCATTATGTAATTTATTATAAAATGAAATGCAACTTACACCTATCTATAACTTTTTTTAGTACTAAGTTAACAGTTAAAGTTGATTAATTGAAACTTGTAAAGCTTACTGAGATGCATTTAATAGTAACTAGATCATTCAAATTGGTCTAGTAGATGCTACAATATTGTCAAAAAAACATTTGGCCAACTATATAAAATTTTATGTAAACAGACTTGTTTATATATAGAATTTTACATAGTTAGTTCAGCATTTTTAATAATATCTCAGTATTTACTAGACTGATATAGATAATCTAACCATCATTAGATATACTTCAGTGAGCTTTACAAGTTTCAATTAATCGACTTGGATTGTTAACTTAGTATTAAAAAAAGTTTTAGATAGATGCATGCTATGTTTCACTTTATAGTAAATTATATAATGATCTACATCATATTATACTATAATTAGGCCTTTGCATAGGCTAGGTAGAGCCAGGTAGCAGCAGTACCCTAACTCTACCTACTTGTGTAAGAGCTTGATTTTCAAGCCCTTACCCTTACCCTAGAGCAGTGTTGTCATATCTACTATGTCCAAGATTTTTTTTGACTATATCCAATGTTTAAATATCCAAACATCCAAAAATGTTCATAGCATATACAAGTTTTAAAAATTAATATATTAATTTAAAAAATATATGATTATATATTTTTTATAGCGCTGAATATTTTTATTTAAAAAGGTAAAATAGATTAACTTAATAAAATTTTGAGCAAATTTAATTTATTTATTTATTCAAAAATGTCTAAAAGTGTCCAAACTCATGTTTACAACTGTCCTATGACAACACTGCCCTAGGGTATAAAGCTAAATATTCAAGCCTGGTTCATTGGCTCATAAGTACCCATGAACTACCTGTGGGCCCAAATATGATCCTATCAAAACTATTCAAGATTTGGTTCACAAGCTATCTACTCTTAGAATAATATCCTTTTAATATAGTAATCAGATATAAATAAATATATTATAATATTTCTAGGATCAGTATTCTGCAAAGTATAGTAATTATCTGACATAATATACAATAATTTTTTACATGTACTTGAAATAAATTACATATGTAATTTTTTTTTTTTTTACCAATTTTTGTGCTATATAATACTATTTCTGTGATTAAATGCACTTATTTTAATTATTACCTTATTATTTTGTGGATTACTGTCATGGGGTAAGCCAATAGGGCCTTCTCTACTGCAAATCTAGCTCAAGTATGTAAGCATCTTGTTGACTCGGCCTCTTCTTTTCTACGTCAGATGGTTTTTGGTATTTTGCTATCCTATATGCAGCTTAACAATACCTTGATGTCAACACACACATTAGTACAAGACCAGTTGTGAATAAGCACTATTTATTTATTTATTTATTTGCACATCTTTTATTTACTAGAAGGCAGAGTGAAAGCTATTTTTTTTTATTATCAAATCTTTAAGTCTATATATACTAATTTATAGTCTATTAGACTCAAATTAGTAATGCATCTCCATTTATACAAGATAATGCAAACTACAATAAATCACTAATCTATGACATTCAAACTATGATTTATGCTACACAAATTACTAATATGCTTTCACATACTTTATAAATTTGATTGATGCATTAATGCTACCCAACTAATTATAATACCTTTTCTCAGATTTAGATATTAGTTAAATGCTATTTAATTTAGTGGCATGTATATATGCTTTAAGTATTTTGCTAGTTTTTAAAAAAATTACGTGGTATTCTTAAAACACAGCAAATAATCATCCTTATCTGATTACTAAAGTATTAGTTTTTATAGAGTTATTATACAATAGATACCCAAGCACATATTATATGCAGTTTATTTAAAAAATCTAATTCAAAATAATCTTATTTGCTTTTACAATTCTTAAAATATCAAGCAAATTGTTATATAATCTGAATCATAACAATATCAGCTCAATGCATATGAAATTTCAAGTTGATTATTGTTACTGAATTAAATCGAATTGGAGTTTAAAAAAAAAAAAACTGATAAGACAGTTACAGCATTGAAATTTTGCAAAAATAGAATGAATTATTCTAATTTATTATCAAATAAAATTAAAAATACTGATACCAACTTCCTAATTTAAATCTGACCTTTAATTATATATTGCATAAAAACAAAATAAATTGTTTCAATTAACTAGAAAATGCCTTTTGTTAAGTTTTTTTTTTTTTTTTTTTTAATAGCATTACTGGTAACATCATATAAATTATGCAATCTTCTTTTTTGCTAGTTATATTACCTTTTGTATAACTAAAATAAAATTAGTATAAATTAGAAATATTTAACAATTTAAAAATTATATTTAAAATATCTTGTTTAGTAAATGTTTTAGGTTAGAAGTCCTATCCAAACTTTGTTGCCATCTCTAACCAATTTTTCTGACACATTAATACAGCAACTGTGTTGTGATCTAATAAGGTACAATCATAATCAATAATACGACCTGCACAACTAAACATTTGTTCTGATGTGATGCTAGTAGATGGTATTGCAAGAAAGTCTTGAGCCATTGCTGATAAATTTGAAAAGTGATTTTTATTAAGTTTTCATCATTTAAGAATGTTAGTAGTTTTAGTAGCAATTGGTTTATCTAAATATTGATTAACTTCATAAAGTGCATTATCTTCATTAATTTGAGATTTTTTGATTGTATATTCAAAAAAATCATTAACATGATTCTTGAATATTGGTATATTATCTTTAGCATTAATGATAACTTTGTTGTAAATAGTTGAATATTTAACAGTTGGTAAAGAATAGTAAGTTTAAATATATGTATTCTCAAATCTAATTTTTATAATTAAGTTAGTAACAAAGTTATAAATAATAGTCATAACTGAAATTTAAAATTTTTGAAATGCATTTTTTTTTTTTAGGGTTTAGAATTCATAATTAGAATTGTTTGTAAGAGTATAAATAGATTTAGTAGGTTTAGTAAACTTATATTGAGCTCAAATCTTAGCATCAGCTATAACAATAATTATATAATAAATTAATAAATATGCATACTTTATTTTTATATTTTGTAGTTTGTCATTGAGATTATTCGATTCTAGCTTTTTTTTTTATAATAATAGAATGAGATGAATTGCAACTTGTAGCAAAGGTCAAGAATACATGTAACTATATATAGAGAGCTACTGTTTTCTCAATACTTATTAAACTTTTTTATCATAGGTTCACAAACATTATTAATAAAATCTTCAGTATATGATCTTATGCTAAGAAGATGAGTACAAATATTCAAAATAGAGGCAAAGGCATTATTAAGAGTTAGATAGAAATTTGCTAATGTTTTAAGAGTATCTATTTTTATAAAATTTAATTAATACTTAGTGAAGATTAATCTAAGGTTTATGATATGATGAATTTATTACTAAAATATGATATAATAAATTTTTTAAAACTAATTAATTAATAAATATCATACAGTCATAAAATAGTTATAAAATAGTATAAATATTATTAGCCTTTTTTTATTTCTCTTTATCTGGTATATCGGAAAAGCTTTTTTCATTCTAATAATCACATTTTTCATTTTTATTGCTGATTGTAATATTTAATATATAGAATTCTAACAAGTATCACAATCTAATGATGGAATTACAGGACTTTCAGAATCATATTCACAAAGATCTAAATAGATTTGACGTTGCTTCAAAGTTGTGTATAGTGTTTTAATATAACTATAAATCTAAATAAATTCAAAAAAATATTTAAAAAATTATCATATATTAAATTTAAATAATGCATAACTACCTTGTAGATTATTTCTAAGATTTTTTTTAGACTGTCTTTTATGATTAGATTCAAGATATGAGCAAAGCAGCAGTTATAAAAAAACTTCTCACTCATATTACTATAAAAATTTTGGAAAATATGATCTGCTAATTCACAAATTGCAACATTGTTTGAACTTGCATTATTAAGAGTAATAGTTTGTAACTATGAAATAAAAAGTATTAATATATATAGTGTTAGTATTTTATACATAATTAAACAATTCTGCATGTTTAGTTTGTTGCTTTACTGTTAAACTTTGATAATTTAGGTCAGACCAATTTAATTTGGTATTACATTACATTCTCTTCTTAAAAGAGAGAGACAAAAAAATGGAATTTGTATTTTAAATTGGTTTGGTCAAAAAAATTAGCATAAAGAGGAAGGATAATGTAAACTACTGAATTGAATTGGTCTGGCCTTATTATAAATATATAAGTAATAGAAAAAGAAAACCTGCAAATTAATTCATAAACTATCATGATAAACTTAGTCCAAGGATTGATTATATAATAAATATATTACCAAGTAAATAAGATATATTGAGTCTGAGACTAATAATATAAAACTCCATTAACTAATTTACAGGTTTTCACTTCTTATTACTTAAATATTTAGTTTAAATCTGATAGTTACTAATCCAAAATAGTTTTTCTTGACACTTTGCTTTTTGTATTTTAACATTATTTTTTATTTTAATCAGGTTTACAATTAGGATTATATCTCTATTAAAATAGAATATTGTTAATATAATTTAAATACATAATAGATAATATTTGCTAAATTTAGTTTATTAAAGTTACATTAACATTCTAAAATTCAGATATACTAACTTTTCATTAAATATATAATGTAATACATATTAGATTTACAAGTACTTAGTATAATTACAGGTATTTATTTCAACAAAGCAACTATAACTTGCAAACTTTAGCTCTTTTTTGAGCTTTATAGATTAGTTGTAGCATAAAAATAACAAAAGCACTTGAAATTTGATATATAAGTTTTATTATTTGCTTATTAACTTGAATAAATTCTATATCGATTATCATATGATCGTAACATTTTTTATCACAATCAATCTAAATTAAATGTATTATTACTCTTTTATTACCTTATTAGTAATTAAATACTTATCTGTTGCTACTTTAATGCAATTAGCAATATTGACTTCAGAATAGGGAAAGGGGATTAATCTAAATGATAGTAAAATAAAAATAAGATTCCAGTTTTTATTAAGAAAGTATGCAGTAATCAATAGATATCCAAGTTGCTAAAATGATGTCTAAATATCACAAGTTAAAGAAATTTTGCCCTTTGCACTTTAAAAGATTTCTTTGATATAAGCCTTCTTATATTATATGCTTTCATGATATTTCGCTTTATCATATCAGCACTAATAGTAAAGTTGGGTACTAATCTATTAAATAATATTCAAAACCTTTGCTTTTCTACAAACTGAAAACTTAGTTCATCTCTAATTATCATATCAACTAAGTTTTTTTAAATTGAGTTGTTTGAAGGTTTAGTTGTTAAACTAAACTTCAATTGCATTTGAACTTTTTTTTTTTTTTTTTTTTTACATCTTAAGCAGTTATGCTAGTACTTTATTAAGATTCTTGAAACTATATATATTTATAATTACATAGAATTTCCTAATATTCAAGTTTAGCATCACTTGGCTATCCTATTAGTGTCTAAGTGCAACCTGTCGCACTATCTTAGTTAAAGATAGACTGCTCATCTAACTACTTAAAGCCATATCAGAAAGGTCTTCCTCCTTCTGTGACAAGCATATTGATTGACTTCCAAGCTTCTTTCTTTATTCGATTTATTTTTTCTGCTTTCTTTTCCTTTTCTTCCTCCTTTGTTATCTTATTTTTCTTTGTTTTCTTTTCTGATCTTCTTTTGGTTCAAGCACTTTTTTTTATTTTGCCTGTTATATTGACCTTTTCCCATTCTTGTACCTTTCCATATCGAACTCTCCATACTTGGTTATAGAATGTATTCCATACTGTTCTTGTTACTATATCTATGCATTTCTGTATTGTCTACCTGTCTAGAATCTGACTGATCCTTTTCTGACTTCATTTGTTGTTAGCTCTTTTATCAAAGCTGTTCTGTTTGTGATTTCTTTTGCTTCTGTCTTCCCAAAAATTGCCTTATATAGCACTAGAGGTGGAATTCTAACCTTTTCACTTTCTTTTAAACTATTTCAAGCTGCTGCTGTTGCTACCTTTTGAATTCTTTTCTACAAGCTTCTTTGTTCAATACAGCTTGCTAGGTGTGCTTGGGTTTCCTTTTCACCTTTTTGGCATACTTGGCAATCAGTCATTATGTATATTTCTGGCCTTCTTCTATTTAGTTCTTCTAGTGTTGGTAGGCTATTCATCATACATTTGATCACTGTTGCTCTTCTTGTACTGAGTTTTCTTGTTATACAGTATACACTCTTTGTTTTATTCATCTCTTTCCAAAAGCTTGACCAATTATATTGAGTATTCTCAGTTTCTGGCTCTAGTACTTGAATTAGATTTGTTTCTTTCTAACTAGCTCCAATTTTGGCATTCATAACTATTTTACATAGAAGTCTTGCTAATATGTCAACTTTTCTATTTTTCTATTCTAAACAGTACTCTATTGTGTCACATTTGATTTTCTCTGTAACTATTGTCCTTCCACATGTTGCTTCTTTTTTTGCAACTAAATCTGCTCTGTCATTTCACTTGTTATTACTATGACTTTTAACCTTGACTAGTTCTATTCTATTGTTCTTGCTTTTGAGTAAACTAACAATATTCATTATCCATATCACATATTTCTTCTTCAAAACTCTGTCATCTTCTATCTCTTGAATTGCTCTGTTAATATGCCTTAATGCTGTAAGGCTATCTATATGCACCTCTATATGCTTCTCTTCTTGTATAATTAGGATTGCTAACTATATTACTGCTAATTTTGCCATTGTTGCTAAGAGTCAACCTTCAAGTTTTAGTGCCATTTCTTCTTCTGGTCAGTCTTCTCTGCTACTAACCTGCATCCAACCAATGCTCATCTTTCTTATACTATTTTCCTTTTCCTCTTTATATAATGCACCATCTGTATAAAGAGTATATTTGTCTTTATTACTTCTCTTGTTTTTTATTAGAGCTTCTATTAAGTAATTTGTAACTTTACTATCAAATTTTTGTTTTTTGATCAATTTTATTTCTAGTTCTTCTACTTGTTTAAGTTTGATTAGATCTCTTTCTTCTTTTTTCCATTCTTCTGTTGTTCTGTTTTCTAACATTTGCTCTAATGTTGCATTAATCTTATTATTGCTCTTCTCTACTAATGTTTCTGGAACTGACTTTATGTTGTTATTCTATCTTATCTATCTTTCACAATTATCTACACTTTGTTTTGCCCTGTTCTCACAACCTTTATATTTACTTATCTTAGTATATATCTTGCCTTCTACTTTTTGTAGTAGCCAGTACTTGGCAAGAATCTTTTTCTTCTTCTTCTTAGAAATCTTACTGAGTTGCTACTTATGCTTTGGTCTATGTATGATTCACTCCTTCTTTCTTCTGTCCTCTGATATCTTTGTCCAATTAATCATTAATGCCTGTGTATTATAGCCACTAATCTTGTATTGATTATGTACTTCTCTACTTGTTTATGTTTTTAATGTCTTCTCTTCTATTTCACTAAACTATTTGGCTTTTTTCTCTTTGCTTGACAACCCTAG